GATAGTTGTGTGTCGTAGCTGCACATCCTTCTAGTTGCTGTATGTGGGACTCGGCCTCAGGATGGACGGAGAAGTGGTGCCTCGATGCGCACCCGGGGCGCACCCGGGATCCGAACCCGGGCCGCCAGCATCGCAGCGCGTGCACTTAACCACCAAGCCACAGGGCCGGCCCACCTGGCTGATATCTTGATTGCAGTTTTGTGACAGCCCCTGAAGCAGAGGACCCCTCCCAGACTTCTGACTCACAATATAAGTGTGAGATAATAAAAGTGTGCTGTTTTAAGATGCAAGGTTTGGGGGTAATTTGTTATGCAGCAATCACTAACTAATATGGTTATAGCTTTTTGATATATTTTTCTATAATAACATGATGTAGTAGAAAGCACAGTGGTTTAACAACCAGAGATGTTGACTCAAACCCAGACCTGCCTCTCCCTGGCTACGTGACCTTAGGGAACCTGGCAACTCAATCCCCTCATCTGTCAAAAGGGGATGGAAACAACTACTTAAACTGAGCTAACAGCTATGAAGCTGCCAACCCAGAGCCAGTCCCAGTAAACTCATAAACAATGATAATTTACTGCTGGAGTTACTGCAACAACATAACCAGCCACTCCCCACCTGACATTTTTAGAAAGTCTTACCTAAATCATTATAGAACCTTCCATTTTACCTATTTCTCTCAAACTAGTTAAGAGTCTCTAAATTCTAATTCTAACCTTATGATAAGCAGCAATGAATTATTCACGGAATTCAGTGACTCTTCTGACTTACAGATTCTTCTCTGTATGTTATATAGATGGTGACCACATTCTTTAAACCAAAGATGCCTGGTCAAAAATATCCAAGTGTACTTTTGAGAACAATGAGGGAAAAACTGAAAATAAGGCTGTTCCAGCCCACCCACAACATAAAGAGCTGCTGTTTACTATATTATACTCCCCTCAAAGAGGCACTACTTGCCAAAATTTCATAATATTAGCTCATTATTTAAAACCCAGTTTTTGTCAATGGTTTTTTTCCTATTTTTTTTTTTTTACTTTTTTTATTTATTTAATTTGGGGGAGGGCATTCTGCATTCCATTGATATCTCATCTTTACTTAATAAGCCCTAAGAAAAAGAAGCTGTGCAAACTGCTTTTCCATTTATAACAAATAAATGTGAAACTTCACTCGGTGACATTACAACAGTAGTGTCTTTAAGTAGTCACCATCCTGCTTCAAACGATGATTGCCAACTTTGTTTTTGTGGCTAACTCAAGGCTTCATTAATTATCAAAAGGGGCAATATGAAATTTCTCCAAGTCCCAAACAAAATTAATTTTAATTCAATTCAATTTCCTGACATTCTTTTAGAAGAATAGGAAATAGCATCAAAGTATAACCCAAGGGTGACACAGCCACAAAGCCTTTGAAAATCTCTGGTCTAAGCCAGAGATCAGCAAACGCTGGCTGGCATGCCAAATCCAGCCCACCATCTGTTTTTGTAAATAAAGTTTTATTGGAACACAGCCATGCCCGTCTGCTGAGTAGTTGTGGCAGAGACGTCATGGCCCGCAAAGCCTAAAAAGTTTACTATCTGGACCTTTACAGAAAAAGTTAGCTGATGCATGCTCTAAAAAGTCATATGTGTGTCAAAAAAACATCTAAACTCAACTCTCAAAAGGATTCTGCCATTGTTGAGAATCCGAATCACAAGGATAGAGGTAATAAGTGATTCAACTGCATCCTGGGCCACTGAACCTTCACAGCTAGATGTGAGAAACAATATTTTTTCTTCAAACTTAATGGCATTAAAGCCAAAACATTTCTGAAGAGAAAATGGAAAACCAAACCAAATGAGTGACAGCAACATGAAAGCAGCCCTTTTCTCTGTCGGCATACTCAGCTCTCCCCCGTGAGCATACCTCTCCGATGATGTCGGTCTGAGACCCAGCATCGCAGAATTGCTGAGGTAAAGAATCACCAAGCGTGCCTGGATTGTGAGGGAACTCTTGCAGAGGGTCGGTGAGAGAAAAGCTATTCTTGAAGCCATCAGTAAGCTTGGCCAGGCTCTGGAATAGAATGAAACAAGCTACTGGAACAGCGATGGTAAGGCTTCTCTTCCCTCTAAAAGCACTCATTTCATCCTGGTTCCCAGTTGGCAGCTTCACTACTAGGCAGCTGACCCACTCCAACCCCCATCCTCATTAGACTGAAAAGAAATGTCTATCGCCGTGTGCACCTTTAATAAAATGCTCAGTGACTTAAATCGGATAGCAATTGAGTCTTCCTGGCAGCACGTGAATAAAACAGAGAACAACTGTGGTACCATTTTTATTGTTTTTTAAACCTTCGAGTTTCCTAAAGAAAAAAAATAAGCATTCCCTCCAAAAAAGCCAAACTCATAGAAACAGAGTAGAATGGTGGTTGTCAAGGGCTGGGGGATGGGAGAAATGGAGAGATGTTGGTCAAAGGGTAGAAACTTCCAGTTATAAGATGAATAAGTTCTGGAGACCTAATGTACAACATGGTGACTACAGTTAACCATACTGTAGTGTACACGTGAATGTTGCTAAGAGAGTAGATGTCAAAAGTCCTCACCACCCCGCCAAAAAGGTAACTATGTGAGGTGATGGAGGTGTTAACTCACCTTATTGTGGTAATCATTTCACAATGTATATGTACATCAAATCATCACATTGTACACCTTAAATTTATATAATTTTATTTGTCAATTATACCTCAATAAAGCTGGGGGGAGTAAATGCTTCCCACCCAAAATGTTCTATCAATAAATGAGTCTGACAGACACAAATGCTACCTCAAGAACTTTATAAACCACACAGAAGGTGAAAATGGCTCCCAGACAATGCTTATGTATTTTTATAACCTGATTTTTCAGTCATAATTCTACATGTCAAAAGTCATCTCATATGGATGTTAGTTTGCCAAAAATTAGTGTAAGTGTGTATTCTGGCACATGAAACCTCTTTGGGTGAAAGTTAAAGAGAAATCAGATTTTCTATGATTTTTTAAAAGACTTTTGGATGTATTTTTCTTCAGCAGATATTTCTGCAGATACCAGAATGCCCAGGTGCAGAATAACTCACGTAGCTGGCTCTGGATCAAGACAAAGGCGTCTTGGAATAGGCCAATATTGCTAAGTTCATATAAGAAAGACAAAACAACTTATTTGATTTTACTAGAAGAGGATGCTGCCCATGTCTTTCTCTGGAGTTTCTCAGAGAAGATGGTGGGGTCTGAAGCTTCTTCCAGAAATTCTATCTCTAGCCTCCATGGTAGGGAACCCACTCAAGGCAAGTGGGTGGCTTGCCCCAGCTCTGCACACTCAGAAAGGCCAGGGTAAGGAGGCCAGCTCAACCTCTCGGGGCAAGGCCTCCGTGTCCCCGAGGTGAAATACCACCCAGTTCATCTGTGGGGTTTGGGCTTGGATTAGAGGGGTAATGTCCACAGAGCCCCTTGTCCACGCCCACAGAGGCCTCAGTAAATGGCAGTTCTTTTTGCTACCAGTGCTTGGAGAAAATCTAACAATTGACCATTTACCTCTCATGACCTGGAGAAGGCATCTGAAAATAGATTTCTGGGTCCCACCTCCAGAGAGTCTCATCCAGTAGGCCTGGGGTGGGGCCCGTAAGCTGCAATTTAACGAGCACCATGGGGACACTCCACAAGTCTCTCCCGTCCTTGACCTCAGGAAGCGCTGCTGTGCAAGGCAGCTATCTGTGCACCTGTCTCATTTGGCCTATGAGTCTGAGCTTTGCTTCACATATTCTTCCATGTCTCACATTCTGCAGAATCTAGACAAATGCCCACCAGATGCTAGGTGCACACTTAGTGTGTTGAGCAAAAAATCAAGGCCATAACAGAAACAACTGACTGCATTCCAGCACTGAGCAAATAGACCAGTGCACAACCATGTGCAAACCCCTAGCTTTTTCTAAAAATAACAGAAACTACAGGAGTTCAAGGGGCAAAAAAATAAAACAGTATAAAGCTACAATGATCCCAGCCATATAATTTAAATCTATCCACATGGTAGAATACTATGCAGCCATATCAAGGAATGAAGCAGCTCTTTGTGTACAGATATGGAAAGAGGTACAGGGTATTACCATTATGTGAGGAAGCTAGTGTAGAAGAAGAGGCACAGTCCCAGCTCTCCGTGAGAGCGGCTGAACATGTGTTCACACTTTCATGTGTCTGCCTAAACACTGGACGGTACACAAGGAGCTAAGAAAAGTAGTTACGGGAGGTGAGAGAACGGGGTGATAGTGAGACTTCTCTTCTTATCATAGACTTTCTGAATTATTTTGATTATTGAACAATATGAATGTATCACCCATTGTTGTGGCTTGAACTGTGTCCTCCAAAAAGATATGTTCAGGTCCTAACCCCCAGAACCTGTAAATGTGAGCTTATTTGGGAGCAGAGTCTTTGCAGATAAAATTAAGTTAAGATGAGGTCATACTAGATTAGAATGGGTTCTAATCCAACAATCAGTGTCTTTATAAGAAGAGAAAATAGAGACACAGAAACACAGGGAGAACACCATGTGACGACCAACGCAGAGACAGCAGTGATGCATCTACAAGCCAAGGAACGCCAAGGAGTGCCAGCAGCCACCAGAAGCTGGAAGAGGCAAGGAAGGACCCTCCCCTAGAGCCTTCAGAGAGAGCATGGCCCTGCCAAAACCCTGATTTCAGACTGCTAGCCTCTAGACTCTGAGAGAAGTTTCTGTTGTTCTAAGCCACCCGTTTTGTGGTGCTTTGTTATGGCAGCTCTAGGAAACTAATATACATACTTTAAAATATTTATACAAACACACACATATATAATATATACACATATATAATATTGTATATACATGTGTCTTAAAAATATATATGAATTGCGAATATAATAAATATATAATATATATTTTTTCAAAATTTTAAATAAAAGAAAGATAGACACACAGGCAGGCAGATGAATGAACACGGGATCTGAAGAGCATCGGGGCCACTTACTTGCATCAGGTCCCGTCTCTCCTTCTCGCCTGTACAAATGGCTTTCTTGATGGTCCGGAGCTCACTCATTATAGCCTGTGCCTCATCCAGTTTGTAGTTGGTATGAGCACTTGACATCTTACGATCAATCCTGGTTAAAAAGGAAAAATAAGAGTCATTCCACGCGAGATGAGAACATTCCATTAAACAATAATAACAAAAAATGCAGAAGCTTCATAGAAAGGTGGGAAAGAGTTGAAAACAATGTTTTGGCAAAGAAAAATAAAGATCCTATAAAACCTTCCTTGCTTGTGGAAAACACCACAAGATGAGGCTTGGCTGCTGGATGACTTCCTGTGCTCCAGGAGCATCCTATGCAAGTGAGGACGTTAAAGTCAGGATTCCTGCGTCCTCAACTAATGATTAGGCAACGAGGTCATTGGCTTGAGTAATTCCCAGAGATTTTAAACTCCCCTCTCTGATAGGAGGATCATGTCTTATTTGTTTACTACCAGCATCTGGGTTAGTGGTCAAAACTGTCTATTAAATACACATGAATGAGATCTGTGTGCAAGGAGAATACATGGGAAACAGGAGAAAATAGTGAACTTCCAATAATGATGTCTTGTACAAAAGTTGGAAACTCTTGGGGGGTGGGGAGTTGGAAACTCTATGTCTCCTCTCTCTCTCTCTCTTTATCTCTTTTTGGTTCTTATTTATCACTCTACTACTCACCTCCTCAATTCTTTTCTTCAATACAAACATCCACTCATCCTTCCTTCCTTCCATTCAAACTTCCTTCCCTCCTTCCTTCTTTCCCTCCCATCCTCTCTTCCTTCCAGCCAGCCCGCCCCTGTGCACACGAGGCCTGGTTCTGGGTGGTGGAAGCGGAGCACTGACCAAGACAAGGCTTGCTCTGGCCTTCAAAGAGCAGGCAGTCTCCTGCAGCACGGCCTTTGTCGAGTCTTCCATAGCTAAGTCTTGAGCCTTGGAAGCCCTCAGGGCTAAAGAAGTTCGGATACTTTGGTCCCGAAATGGAATGAACTCCTTCTCTGGAAAGTCATTAGCTTCCGTTTCAGGTTCCAGATCCACCAATACATAGGTTCTGGTTCTAAATTGTTTCCCCCGTGTCACCTGAAAATCTGGATCCTTAACGGTCACCCCAAACTCCCTCATTTTCCACTCAAAAAAGCATCCTGGCACACTGGTGAGTGCGAGTGACACTCCAGCTCTACAGTGGGACCCTGGGCAATCACTTGACCTCTGTAAACCTCAGTTTCCTCATGTCTCAAATGGGACGCTTAGAATGTTTCTTCCATTTAATGAGGAAATGTAAGGCAAGGGCTTACTTGGCAGAGGCCTGGCATGTAGTGTTTGTGGTGGTTATTATTATTATTATTATTGTTATCACCAGGATAATGCTGAATCTACTTACTCATGGGAGAAAAAGTAAATAATTCACAACTCTGGTACTTTATTATCATCGACAAATTCCTGGCCACATATGTCACCACTCACAGCAAAACTCAGCCCCGCAGGTGACCTAAGCTATCAGCACCCTTGGACTGAGAGAAGGACAAAGAAAACAAGCAGGAAACCGTTCCCACCCGCTCTTGGGTGCCACAGCACTGCTAAGATGGCCATCAGCAACAGAGAAAACATTTATGAAAACTGGTCCCGAGTCCTCTTCCATGGACAGTGGGTGCAGGCACACTACAGGATCCCACACATTGAATGGTGACACCCCTAAATCCCAACATGGCCTGGCCATACATTTTTCCATTTTGGCTGTTGTATGGAGAATCAAGAGTCTCTAATGCAAGGCAGAAATAAAAGGCCATCCATCTCACAGCATTACATCTGCCAAAGAAGTCCCAACTTTTCTTGCAGAGAAAATCTGGACTTATAATAATGTCTCCTTGTATTCATCTTCTGATAAAAGGCTCTCCAATACATCTCATTTCATGTCACAAACCACAACCCACAGAGGCTGATGAAGTCTGTAGAAAAGGATTACATCATTTCCAGACCAAAAACTTGAGGCCAGAAAAGTCTGGTTTCTCTGTAACAGTCAATGACCAGCACCTCTGCTATCCAAGTCTACTGGCTCCCTCAGAATAAAAAACACAGCAAAAAGATCATCACTCGACACTGACAGCCTTATAGAGAAATGAAACTCTACTATACCGAACAAATTTTTTTCAATTGCTTGAAAATCAATGCTAATCAAAAATTGCCACAGAAGTCTAGACACACACCCACTGTTAAGGCTGCCACGCAAGGCAACAGCAACGTGAGCTCCAGCTTTATACTTCAGTGTCGTGATTTCCTGATCCCTTTTGGAAGGTATAAAGCCTAAGCGTGGCCATTAGTAAACCCAGGAAAACAGTCCCCAATTCCCATCAGGGAGACGGACCAGCAGCCCTATAATTCATCCCACTGGTGGACACTGCAGAGCGCCTAGGAGAACAGAAGTTCAACTGGGAGGCCAAGGTCCCAGGCTCTGGCCTTAGCTTTACCCAAGTGGCTCTGAGACCTCGAAGAAAAGCAAAGAGTGGCCTAGAGCAGCTGTTGTCACCCTGTTCCGAGGGTGTCCTGGCGTGGTGGGCAGCAGTAGCTAAGGGGAGAGCCCACCTAAGGCTTGGGGACCCTCACCCCTGCTCCAGTAAGCACCTCCCCTTTGCTCGGTCTCAGATATTCTGGTTCCATAGAAGATGTCGTTTGCAGGGAAGGAACGGAAAAAAATTCCACTGTTAACAAAGTGTGAAAGCTATTAGAAAGCATGATCTCGAAGTTCTAGGAATCTTTGAAATACTATTATTTAAAAACAGTTATACATTATTGTAGAACATATAATTATAAAAAGGATTATTATATATTATATAACTTTATATAAACATTTTATATAGTATATATTATTTGGTTATATTATATAAATAGTATGTTAAAATAATTCACTATATTAAGCACCTACTAGGTGACAGGGTCTTGCTGCATGCTTTAGTTTGTCACCTCATTTAATCCCTTCAACAGCTTTATGAGATAAGCATAATCTTCTCAAGAGTTTATAATGAAAAAATTGAGGCTCAGAGAGATTAACTAAGTGGCCAAGATGACAAGCTAAGATCTGCCAGAGCCGAGATGCAAACCTACATCTCCCAATTCTCAAGTTCACTTTGGATCACCAGGTGCAGCCATGCCCCTTGATACCACAGGTGTACTCCGCTCCGAGTGGCCAACGTAGGGTCCACGTGCTTTTACAAGGGCAAGCAACATTTCGCAGAATTTAAACCACTGCCATTTGTCAACTGTGATAAACTTTCATCTAACAAAAACGTCAATGGACAGGAAACCTCTTCCTTCACATCTGCAAAATTCATTTATTTGAGAGTTTTCTCCCTTTTTTCAAATTCCATCTAGAACTTTGGTCAAATTCAGAGGATGTACTCAATGATTTGGTATTTTCTAAAATATCAATATATGTTTCATATCATAAAGAAAATCATAACATCTGCAACTGCCAAGGAACTGTCTTTTTCTTTTTTTAATTTTAATAAGAGCTCAAGACAGTGCTTATACATCTTGAATAAAATGATAGAAAATTGATAACTGTTCAACAAAAGGTGGTACTAATAAGGACATAAGTTATTATGCAGTGTGCTATGATCTGAATGTTTATGTCCCCATAAAAGTCACATGCTGGAATCCTAATGCTCAGTGTGATGGTATTAGGAGGTGAGGCCTTTGGGAGGTGATCAGGTCATGAGGGTGGAGCCCTCATGAATGGGATTAGTGCCCTCATAAAAAAGACACCAGAGAGCTCCCTTGCCCCTTCCAGCACGTGAGGTTACAGCGAGAAGATGGCCATTTATGAACTGAGAAGCTGGCTCTCATCAAACATAGAACCTGACCATACTGGCATCCTGATCTTGGACATCCAGCCTCCAGAACTGTGAGAAATCAATTTCTGTTGTTTATTAGCCACCAGGCTGTGGTATTTTGTTATAGGAGCCCAAATGGACTAAGACTAAGTATAAAAAAAATCCAGTACACAGACCACACAGTCTTTACTTTTCACCCCTCAACATTTTGCAGCAGCTTCAGGGAGGTTAAGTAACTCGCTCAGGGTCACACAGCCAGTAAGAGGTACAGTGAGGGTCACACGGGGGCCCCTCCCACCAGCACTCATCCTCTTCATCACCAGGTTAGCAATCACTCAAAGTCAAGGCCTCCAAACTCACCCTATATCAAACCTGAAGGCCATCCACACAGCCAGTCAAATGTTGTCCCAAAGTAAACTGGTGCTCTTTATGGTCTACTTTTGAAAGAAATGGTTAGAGAGAAAAGAAGGTACAGCTTCAAATGATGACTGCAGTACCGCTGAGAAGGCATTTTAGAGATGTTTATTATCAACCTCTACCTCCTGTTGCCCTAAAGTTTCCATATTTGTTGTTCTGTTTAAGATGTCAAGAGAACTGCACTAGCAAAAATAAACCCAAACGACTTCTTACACCCACATCTTGAAGAAAAGGACTGCCAGGCCTCTAAAGACATTCCATGTTAATACCACACATTACAACCCAAAAGAATGAGAAGTTTTGTTACAGCTTCTACCTTTTACATCACCAGCTCTGGCAAGGAGGCTTGAATGAACCTCAGAAAGCTTCCGGCAGCTTTCTATCAACAGCAGGTCCTGTGTAGAACACCAGACCTGTCCCACAACCACGAACAATGCTCTTTTTGTTTTCGCCCCCATTTCTGTATGTTTTACTGTTATCTGAGCAGTGCCAGAGTTTTCACACGGGCTGTACCTTATGTGCTATGTTAATGGGACATTGTTGGTTTAAGCCTGTTCTAACTGTGAACAATTCCATTCTCTTCCGAAACCACTAAATCTCCTTGGACAGAAAAGGCTAACTCCAATACCTAATACTGCCTCATCCTGGTATCGAATGCTCAGGAGAGTGTAGTCACCCTTATTTAAGGAGACCTATGGTTTAACTTCATTCATACCATATCAATAGGGAAGAAGTTCATCAAGCAATTAAAAGGCTTGAAGCAAAGAGGCTTACCCAGTAGCTAAGAAAGTACCTCATGGAAACTGGTTGCTGGAACATTTAGCAAACACCCCTTTCTGTGATTTGAATAGCA